TTTTTTTTTTCCCGTTTTGTATTCGAATTAGCTGTTTAATAAGCCATTAATTGTTTATTGAAAAAGAAAAATTACAACTAACAAAAAATAACTGTGGCGGATGTTGCGGGTAGTTATTGGCCACAAATATCATCTCTTTCAGCAATCAAATGTAAATAGCTGTTTGTTCGTTTGTCTTTCTTTTTTTTTTTACGTTACACTCAAATAATAAAAAAAAAAAAAATTTATTAGATGCTAAACTTTTTAAAATTTTTATAAGTTTTGTAAACTTTTTATTCTTTTTTGCTAAATATAATTGAAGAAAAATGAATAAACTTCGCAAAAAGAGAAAAAAAAATAAGAAAGTAAAAGTGATAAAAGAGTAACAAAAAAATTTGCTTTTTATCTGAACATATTTTAAGTATTTGTGAAGAAAAAAGTAATATATTTTTTGAAACATTTAAGTTAGACAAATTTTGTTCAGTGATTAACAATCTTAGATAGCTTTTTGTTTTCCTTCTTTTTTTTTTTTGTTTTTTTTGGGTAAAACAAACAGTTTTATTATTAAAAAAGTGAAAAAAAAAACACAAAAGAGATTTGGAGATGCAAAAAAAAAGCAAAAGAAAGATAGAAAGAAAAGCCGAAAAGTTGCAACTGAGTTGTCACCTTCGAACACCCCAAATATCCATCCCCACAGTTATTTGTGTTGATACCGCTTATTGTGTTAAGCAATCTTTAAGTCTGTGTCTGTGTGTCTGTGTGTGTCTCTGTGTCTCTATGTTTGTGTGTGTGTGTGTGTCCTCACTATTCAGATGGTTGGGGAAAAAAAAACCAAAACAAAAGTAAATATATATTTTTAGAAAGAAGGGGAAAAAAAAGTGGAAAAAAGTAGGAAATAAATAAAATAAATTATTTTAATTTAACTTGATTCCACTTTTTTTTTTTTTTGCTTTCGTTAAGGAATAGAAAGATGGAAGAAAAAAGAAAAAAAAAAGCACTAACTTAATGTTTATAGGTCAATGCTAAGCTGTAAAACTGTCAAATTGAATTAGTGTTGCAGCAATAAACAAAACTTTGATGTTTATTTAGTGTTTTCATATTGTCGTTCTTGGATCCTGTTACATAGATTTAGAGCAATACTACTCCAGGACTCCATCGTTGACATTTGCACTGCAGGTTGTTGTTTAATGTTGTAATCACTCGATGACAATCAGATCTGAAACGACAACCTGAATAGACCATAGATCTAACGGGATAAATCATTTTACACCTACAAATCTATTCAACAGTTTTGTTCAGTTTATCATTGACAGTGAGTGCCATCTTTTGACAGTAGACTAGTTAAAGAAAAAAAATAAAGGTTTTTAGGAAGTATGAATTGAACAAAATGAGAAAGAAAAACATCAATTTTTTATTTTGTATACTTTAATAAAAACAAGCAATATGTAAGCCACTTTCTTTTCTCATTGTAAAAGTACTAAATCTGTTCAGTTTTTTTTTCTTAAAATAAGCATTTTTCTTAACATCACTTTTTTTTTGTTGTTGGTCTTAGTTACTGTCTATACTTGTTCTTTTTTTGTTTACCAAAACTGAAACTATTGTCTTATTGAAAGCCTAGACTGTAGTCAGGAAGTTTTTGAGGAAGAATAATGGTTTCTTGTGGTGAACGCCGTTTTTAGAATTTAGAAACACACTGTACAGTAGCCGATAACGGCAACATAATTGAGGAAAACAAAAGAAGAGAAAAGAAAAATTGGGCAACTGTTAACGACCACAGCGAACAACAATAAGTGATACAAAAATGACGGTATATATTTGGTTTGA